CAGCGGAAAAGCCAACTTGGATACATTTAACACACTGCAAAAAGTAATTTAATTTCAAAAGTAATTGGGAAGCAAGCTCAGGACGCTCACCGACCTACAGGGGAAAGTCCAGGTTACAAAGGGGGTTAAACCAAATAGTTTTTCCGTCTCAAAACTGGTGAAGTTTGTCCACAACCCTGTAGTGTCTTTAGGAGCAGACGGACTTGCACATTAATGAAAATAACAAGCGAATATATCTTTTTTTTTTTTTTTTTGTGTTGTCATCTGGGAACAATTCATGTCATAAATGAAAATGTATTTCTTGTAGCACTGTTTACAGAATGAGGATGGGTATTCAGGTATGTTTTCCACCTAGTTCTATTATTTTTTTAGTATCCTGGGCAAGTATGACATCAGTAAACTACAGAGATTAAAGTTTCCAATTGAAACAAAGAAACCCCTGTTCTTTATGTAGGATTCAAACCAGTCGAGCACCGAACCAGAGAGTCCAGCCCAACTTTCAAGTCGATTCAGTAATATGTCATGGTCGACAGTGTCAAAAGCTGCACTGAGATCCAACAGAACCAGCACCGTGGTTCTCCCACAGTCCGTATTTATATGGATATCGTTGAATACTTTTACGAGGGCAGTCTCCGTGCTGTGGTGAGCACGAAAACCAGACTGGAAAGTGTCAAAGCAGTTGGTCATCATGAGGAAACTATTTAATTGTTTACACACAGTTTTTTCAATAACTTTGCTGATGAATGGGAGGTTTGAGATCGGCCTGTAATTCTGCAATAGTGATTTGTCCAGGTTGTTCTTTTTTAACAGTGGTTTGATGACTGCTGTTTTCAAAGCCTGGGGGAAAACACCTGATGTAAGCGATGAGTTTACGATTTGGATCAGATCAGTAGCAATAACAGGCAGGACTTTCTTAAAGAAATGTGTGGGAAGGACATCCAGACAGCAGGAGCTTGAACTTAATTGACTTATAATTTCTTCTAGAGTTTTATAATTAAGTAGTTGAAAATGGGTAATTTTTTCTGTATTTGTTTTGTTTTGGTACAGCAATGGTTCTGGCTTTGAAGTTGATGTGCAGATTAATCCTCTGATTTTTTGAATTTTCTCTGAAAAGAAATCAGAAAACGTATTACAGGCAGCATTAGATTGGAATTCAGGTGGTAACGTCACAGGAGGGTTTGTGAGCCTGTCAACTGTTGCAAATAAAGTTCGAGCATTATTGATGTTTTTGTTTATGACATCTGCAAAGAAAGCCTCCCTTCCATGTTTTAGTGTTAAGTGATAGTTACGTAGTTTTTCTTTGTAGATGTCGTGATGAACGTGAAGTTGAGTTTTACGCCATTGTCGTTCTGCCCTGCGGCAGACTTGTCTTGCAGATCGAACTATTTGTGCATTTCTCCATGGAGATTTCTTTCTACCAGTCAAAACCTTTACTTTAATTGGGGCAATGGAATCAATGATATATGAAACTTTAGACTGAAAATCATCTAACAACTGATCTACATCATTACAGCTTAAGGGTGAGGAAGAAGAGTAGATTTGATTAAATGTTTCTGCTGTGTTTTCTGTGAAAGAACGTTTTGTGACAGCAGCTGTTTGTCCAAGTGGGTCAAAGAATAAAGAACCTTCAAAGATAACAGCAAAGTGATCCGACAGGGCGACATCAATTACAGAGACATTGGAAATAGTCACGCCCTTACTGATAACCAGGTCCAGTGTGTGTCCTTGAGTGTGTGTTGCCTGTTTAACATGTTGTGTTAAACCAAAATTTTCTAAAATATCAGAGAGCTTTTTTGCTCCTCTGTTTTCGAATTTGTCCACATGAATGTTAAAATCACCAATTATTAAACAATCATAATCAATGCATATGAGAGAAAGAAGATCATTCAAGTCAGTAAAGAAATTTTCCACATATGCTGGAGTTTTGTATAAAGTTAGTGTCAAAGTTCGTTTGAAGCCTTTACCCTGAATTCCAAGATACTCAAAAGATGTGAAATGACCGAAAGAGATTTTACTACAGTTTATGGTATTTTTAAATATAGAAGCCACGCCTCCTCCTTTTTTATGTTTTCTATTCTCACTTAAAAAATTGTAGTCAGGAGGCGCTGATTCAATGAGTACAATTTGACAGCTACAGCGTCAAATGTTATTCACTAACTAACACACAATCATTCTGTACTAGATAATCTCCTTCCAGGCACAAAGATTAATAAAATATGTAGTGATCTTAGCAATGATGGTTTTATTCAACCGAAGCAGAGCTCTTCACCAAGAGGTAAACCTGCAGGAAGATTTTGTTTCTGCTCTCTGTCAGTGAGGCCTTCTGAGAAAGGAATCAGAGTAAATGAACAATACAAGAAACATTCTTAATTCTATAATGAGATAAACTTAAAGGAAAGCATAAAATAAAGATACATTATAAAGATCAATGAGAATAACAAATAATTGATTAATAATATCACAATTTCTCCAACATTTCCCACCTGTTTATCAAATATTTGTTCTAATTCTCATATCCCTCCTAAACAGCCACTTCAAACAATTTTCAACTAAGAGTTCATTTTTAAGAAAGCAAACATGTTTACACTCAAAGTTTATACTCAGTCCAAAACTTAGAATCAGGATACACATCAAAAGAGTCCTCATCAGAGCTTTCTCTGTTAGACTCAGGTTCTCTCGCCAATAAGGGATACATCGGCATCATCTGGTTCCCCATGGGCTAAATTGTTGTAGTGATGAGACGATTAAACAAAGAATGCAGGCAAGGAATACAACAGCATCCACACAAGGTTAGAATGGCAGCAAAGACAGCCATCGACACTAAAGCAGAGGACACAAGGGTTCGGTTCTTTCCAAAAACATTCATCCAGTCGTCCCACCTGGAAGTATTCACTCCAGAGAACTCCCTCATCTTACCATTAAGGGTACGGAGCCCCTCAATGGCCTTCGTCAGGCTGCCATCAGCCGCTGTGTTGTTGGGTAGAAAAGTGCAGCATCTTTCACCAAAGATTGCACACACTCCCCCTCATTCAGCCAGCACCATGTCAAGTGCAATACGGTTCTGGAAAGCCATCAGTGATGTAGCGGCCAGCTGCTCGTGCACCGCCTCGAAGCCTGCTTGTGTCCAGTTGCCCAGTTTTTGTACATTGTAATGGATGTAATTGATTCTGTCAACGTTTTTGTTTAATGTGCACCACCAACAAATTGTGGACTCAAATCCTGCTGCAGTTTGGTCGGCCAATTTATACTCATCTGGTACACCACGGGGGACACCAATGGCATCGATGTATGTAGGATCATTGTTCCTCCAGGTCAGGTCTCGCTTCTGCAACTGACGCCACTGCTGAGGCACAACATTAGTTAAAGCATGAATTAAATGATCAGCAGTCACAGGATAAACGCAAACAGGCAATAACAAAGAAATTAATGCACACATCCCTGTTACCTTCCTAGGTAATCTATTAAAAGTTTTGTCACCACTGCACCACCACCAGACATCTGCACGAAAGACAAGGTTAAATTCATTGTTCACAGAGAGAACAGTCCGATGTTAAAACATCATTTGTCATATATCAAGTTTAATCTCTGTAGTTTACTGATGTCATACTTGCCCAGGAGACTAAAAAAATGATAATAGAACTAGGTGGAAAACATACCTGAATACCCATCCTCATTCTGTAAACAGTGCTACAAGAAATACATTTTCATTTATGACATGAATTGTTCCCAGATGACAACACAAAATTAAAACAAAAAGATATATTCGCTTGTTATTTTCATTAATGTGCAAGTCCGTCTGCTCCTAAAGACACTACAGGGTTGTGGACAAACTTCACCGGTTTTGAGACGGAAAAACTATTTGGTTTAACCCCCTTTGTAACCTGGACTTTCCCCTGTAGGTCGGTGAGCGTCCTGAGCTTGCTTCCCAATTACTTTTGAAATTAAATTACTTTTTGCAGTGTGTTAAATGTATCCAAGTTGGCTTTTCCGCTGCATCTGGGTTTTTAGTGAAAAGTTCAATCCATTTAGAAAAGCATCAATTATTTCTAAACAATACTTTTGTCCTTCACTTTTATTCAATTCTATGAAGTCCATGTGCATTACTTGAAATGGATATTGCAGAGTAGGAAATTTTCCTCTACGTGGTCTTAGATTGCCCTGAGAGTTATGTTTTGTACATATCAAACAGGCCCTACATGTCTCTATAACAGTGTTGTATGATAACTTCTAAATGTACTGATTTCCTGAGCAATCTAGCTACCTTATCCTTTTGCAGTCGTTGTATGACTTCCTCTGAAACATCCTGTGACTTTAAGAATTCATATCTCATCCATCCTGTGACTATTACACACAATAACTAATGAATAATGTCTAATAAAACATAACATTGCAAAAAATCTATTATGAACGAGAATAGGGTTGAATGATATTACTGAAAAACATTTCACGATACAAGCATATTTTATTTGTATTTTATATCTGAAATACTGCCAAACTGGTGATGTGACCTTTCCCATTTTATCCACCGCTTTCACACCATAATGTTTTTTATAAACATTTATGAGGCACAGTGGTGAAACATTAAAGTTACTCAACAGCTTGTTGCTAGTTCACCAGTGAGTTAAATGATGCCATCAACCTAGATGAGCCAGCCTGAAGAGGTTGAGAATAGGCCTGTCACGATAACAAATTTTGCTGGGCGATATATTGTCTCAAAAATTATTGCGATGAACAATATTGTTTGAAGACTTTTTTACAGTGATTTAATGGAAATGATGTAATAATGCATGTGACTCCCTGCCAAAGATAAATACTTTATTTTCAAAAGAACACTTAACACTGGAAATGGTTAACAAAATAAAACCATAAATAGAAATAAAATGGACTTTCAGTCTCTGTTAACAAAAAAAGCACTTGAATAAAAACTAAAGAGAAGATAAAACCACAGTGGAAATAAAAACTACAAAAGAGTACAGATTATGAAGTCTGTGTATTATTAGATTTAAATAAAGATGGGCAAAACTGCCATTTTATAAACAAAAAGTGCAAAGTAACAAAAGCACATTCTTAAATAAGACCGATGCCTGAACAATCTTTAAGTAGATCTGTAGCTACTTTAGTCAGACAGATTCCGAGCAAGAAATACTAACATGTTGAGTTTGTGTGGCTTAAGGCAGGATCTCTCAGGAGTAGCAATGTTTCCAGCTGTGCTAAACATTTTCTCTGAACTGGTGCTTGTTGCACAAATACACATGTATTTCTTAGCCAAGTTTGCCATCAAAGGATATCTTCTTTGATTGTCACACCACCACATCAAGGGATCACAAGAGGCATCAATAGCATCTTCTTGAAGGAACTTTGTCAGTTCTGCATCAGCCTGCTCTCTTTTTGAGTACATAGCCTGTGTCTGAACTGTGAGTTGAGCTCTTCTGTTTTGAAGAAGGTCACTTAGCCTCTTCTTTTTGGTGGGTGGGGCAGCTGTAGATTCATCTTTGTTTCCTCCAGCAGCTTGGCTGGAACCCTCACCACTTACACCTTTTTCACTTACTTCTGGTCCTTTTAAGTCCAGTAGCTCTTGCACCAGCTGATGTTTGATGTCAACCAATGACCCTGCCTGTTCCATGCTGCCACGGTACCTTGGATCCAAGATGGTGGCCTTTGTCAGGAGGTTTTGGATGGCAGGTGAGGTGTATTTTCCAGTCAGTATCGTGGATATGTTTTTTTTAATACTGGCAGTCAGTGTGCTGTCATCAGGGCCTGGAGAGAGAAGGTCGCCTTTAATCAGTTCTAGCACAGGCTTAACAGAGGACACTGTGACGTATCTTTCTCCTGAAAGGACATCTGTAAAGTCAGCCAGTGGTTTAATAGCTGCGTTGATGGACTCTAACACCGAAACATCCTGCCAGGTTGGGTTGAGATGGCAGTGCTTTCTGTCTTGAACCAGGACTCGTCTAATGGCTGGGAGTTGCTCCAACACCCTCTCCATCATCTTCTGTTTAGTGCCCCATCGTGTGACAACATCCTGTGGAATATTGAAAATGTTTTTAGTAGAAAAATACATATAATTATTATGTCACTCATTTAGGGCCAAACTTCACCAGTGACAAGTAAAATATTATTCCCCTTATGATGACAAGTAGAAATAACACCAAAATGGCTCTAGCAAAAAATATTATTACTATATGAGAACTATTTTTTATTAGTTAATGAATTTCAACTTCTTTAAAGAAATGCTACCAATTCTCCTTAATAATTTGTGTTGCTGTATGTAAAATTATTGCCAGACAACTGTCTTAATTAGATTCTACAGGTCTACATGCTACAAAGAAAAATAAACATGGCTCTGAATATTTTGAGTTACAAATGAAATAAATGACTCTAAAAAACCACTCACCAGAATGAGATTGTGCTGAGGGAGATTAGCTTCATTCTGTGCCTTCCTCAGGTCTCTCTTTTTAAGGAAGCTCAGGTTGAAAGTGTTGACCAAGCTTTTACAGAGTCCTATGGCACGTGCTGTCCGTTCTTTGTCACTGTCTAGACCATGGAAACAGCAAGGTGGAGGTTGTGGCCAAAGCAGTTGAGCCATGGCCAGCCAAGATTTCTTATTGCAGTGACAATGTTAGCACCATTGTCTGTTGTAATGCAGACCAGTTTGTCTTCATCCAGTCCCCAGTCTGCTAAAGCAGATTTCAGGTTTTCTTCCAGGATGTCAACAGTATGGTTATCTGGGACTGTAACAGGTTGGCCTTTTACGGCTGGATTTTTCAGTGCAGATTGATGATATCAGGCAGAGTTTAGGTGGAACAGCAGGTTTATTCCTCCCAGCATCACAAACAATGCCACACTCTTGGTCTTACAAACATCTCAATGTCTCAATATCTGTCTCACAGGTGAAAATTACAATCTTAAATAGTCCCAGCTGTGACAGTTAAAACAATCTGAAAATTCATAAGATAATCCCATCTTACCCTGTTCCCCTTAATTGAATAAAAACATTTAACTACAACCACATCGACTTCCTTTTTATAAATATTTTTTATGTTTTATCCTTACCCTTACTAAAACACCATAAAACAGTACACCATAAAACAATACACCCCTCTCCCATTCTTCTCAATGGTCTCTCCCAGGACCTATATCATTGTCCAGCCCCTTAGGACAATATTTGTCCAAACATCCTGAGAGGACACATAAAAAGACAGGTGAGTCACTATATTAGCACATTCCATACCTAATAAATTATGCACATCATTTATTTAGTTTTATCCACCAATAGCTCATTGCTCTGAGTATCAATTATCCTCTCTTCACAGTTAACCACCTCCACTGGCCAATGAGGAGCAGCTGTGCAGAGCCCAGAACAAAGGCTACACACCAATCCCTAAAATACTCAATAAATACAATTAAAACTTCCTGAGTGCAAAATGTTAATTTATAGATCTATTTTAAAAGTGCAGTGCTAAATAAAGTGCATAGTGAGAAAGTGCAAATGTTTTTACAGTGCTATACAATACATTGAATAAATTAATTCAGTAATGAAGGCCTCTTCATTACAGGGACATATCTGGTGTCTAAACATTTAGAGTGCAGGGTCCAGTCAGCAGCTATATAGTGAATGGTCAAGCTCATATAAGGGGTCATATTTGAACTTGACCACATATCTGACGTAGCAGAGTAAAATGAAATGTCTTTTATCTCCTTCAGTACGTCGTCTTTAATACTGTTGTACAGTTGTGGAATTGCCGTTTGTGATATGTATGTTTTTCTGGGGATTTCGTAATGTCTATCAAATGTTTGCAACATTTTTCGAAATGTTGGCTTTTCAACTATATTAAATGGGAGCATCTCTTTAGCAATTAATCGAACTATGCTGTCTGTGAGCTCGTTCCACTTTGCGCCGTCCTTTTTGTACGCTATTTCTCGATTAATTGCTTCAAAGACGGTGGACTGTCGTGAACTTAAAGACGGACACGGGCCACCGGTTGTATTTTTTGTCCTGTTAAGAATTAAAAGAGGAATAACTTGATTTAGCTCGTTAATTAATTCTTTGTCCCGAATTCCTGTGTCTGTGTAAGTGTGCAGAGAGAAAAGAGCAATCATACGTCAGACTTCAGATATTCAGAGTTTTATCCAGAGAAATTCAATGCAGTTCAGAATGTTACAACAAGCATCTCACCCTAGATTATCCAAAAGTCTAAGACATGACAAAACCGAGACAAAGAACTGAGTAAAAAAGACAAAACAGAAGATGCATCCTCCGGGAAACTCTCACTCAGCACAAAGAGATTCCAACTTCTGCTGTGAAACAAACCATTTTTTATAGAATGCGTATTCTCCTCATTTAAATATATGCATTAGGAGGTGTGTTCTTTTCCTTTGTGTGGGCTGTCTTAATGTTAATTTTATTTCCTCCTGCTAAAGAGCCCCAAAAGCAGATATACGGCAAACCCTTCTCGTACCAGCCGCTGTCCAGTTTGATATATGATTGCAGCTGCAGTGTTATCTCTGCCTCAAAATGTTTCCACAAGAAAGTAGTTTGTATTTTTAACCAAGCTTGCACAAAATGTAATGCTAAATAATGACTATAAGTTTGGATCTAATACCATAATTAAAAACATGCTTAAAGAAATATAGTTAATTCTAATATAGATAAAATTATTTTTTAAAAGTTTTAAGATCCTAGTGAACTTTTGAACCATGCTCAGGAATTTGTTAATTGCCTGGCAGACAGGCTCCCTATCTAAAGAGATCCAAGGCGTCTAGGCCTGTTTTCTGTCTACTCCTCTGCGTTCAGAGAGTCACCAGCTGTCCCAGTTTGGATCTGTATCTGAGTTTAACTTATGTACTATTGTGCTACTTTAAAATTCTTATTCCAACAGTCCCCAGCCTTAAAAACTTTGCTGGATGGTTGTGCTTTAGGTGCACGTGCAAGTTGGTTGTATTGTTGCTCTTAGCTCTAAATGGTAAAGTGTAGAGCTTAGGTCTGAAAGTTCTGATTAAATTTTTCCCCTAAAATATTTCAATGGTTGAACAATTCTTAAAATGAAATTCCCATCTTTATAAAAGAGTCAAGTGCATGAACATCATCAGAATGATATTAGTTTTGATCTCAATTATTTTCATTTAAACAGATAATATAATAAATTGGATTTTCACAAGAGTTGCAACTTACCTCTGTTTAGGTTTAGGTTCAGGTGAAAGGAACCTCCTCTGTCTCTTGTAGGTATCCTGAAAGTTGAGTAAAGTTGAGGAGTTAAAATTTTCAACAGGGCCTGCCCGTTTTGGGGGATTTTTTAAGTTTCTTGTTTTTCAATTTTTCTTATTTTAAATTGCTTTTGTAAATATTGTCAATGTAAAGCTGCAGATGTCCAGCATTAGCATAAGTGTACATGAAAATGCTACGAAAACAGTTTGAAAACTGATGCATATTGTACTTCCATATTTTACTCTTGTCTGTGTATCGACAAAAACAATTTAATGGGAAAGATAGTGAATCACATTATGCATATGTAACGGGTAATAGATACAGATGAAATTCTTGTTAAAATATGTTTTGTAATTACTATGTGATGAATGGTTTTTGGCACCCCCTACTGGTTGCCTATAAATAGAAAGCTAAACCGTAAATTCCACGCAGTCTGTTCAGCGCTCTACTGTGTATGCGGAGAGCTGGTGAACCAGTAGTGGAGCTCACTGTGCTAATTTGTGTTGACCATTTATTACAGAAAATTCAACCAACTGGCCTCCTTTGTGTGTATGACGGGACGGGCATAAGGGGAAGCTGTTACACATAACAAAACGTACATACAACAAGCTGTGGAGCTTGTTTTAACCTACTAGCTATTGCTTGGATTAATGCCACAAAATAATTATACATATTAACTTATTGAATTTTTGGAGTACAAACTTCTTATCGCACTCTGACATAAAAACAATCTAATTAACGGACTACTTTTAAAAAACCCTGTTAAATATGCTATAACAAGGTTAGCACAATTTGACGGTTAACCTGCAGCTAGCTCATGTTGCTAAAACAACGAACTATGTACATAACACCACAAGATCAAAAAGCATTCAAAACGAAGGAATCTAAACAAAATCAAAAAAGGTGAGCCTACCTTTTACTGACTCTTAACGCAGTAGCAAAGGTTGGACCTTGGATTTAAGATCATATTTAACTGGGAGTTGGAGCACGCTGTTATTCTAAGGAGAATTGTATCCAACTGCTCCGGTATCTCATAATTATGACTTTGAAAGTCGAAATTATGACTTTGAATCTCATAATTATGACTTTAAATCTCAAAATTATGACTTTGAAAGTTGATATTATGACTTTGAATCTCATAATTATGACTTTGAATCTCAAAATTATGACTTTGAAAGTCGATATTATGACTTTGAATCTCATAATTATGACTTTGAAAGTCGAAATTATGACTTTGAATCTCATAATTATGACTTTGAATCTAATAATTATGACTTTGAAAGTCGAAATTATGACTTTGAATCTCATAATTATGACTTCGAATCTCATAATTATGACTCTTAATCTCATAATTATGACTGAATCTCATAATTATGACTTTGAATCTCATAATTATGACTCTTAATCTCATAATTATGACTTTGAATCTCATAATTATGACTCTGAATCTCATAATTATGACTTTGAATCTCATAATTATGACTGAATCTCATAATTATGACTCTGAATCTCATAATTATGACTCTGAATCTCATAATTATGACTTTGAATCTCATGATTATGACTTTGAATCTCATAATTATGACTTTGAATGTCATAATTATGACTCTGAATCTCATAATTATGACTCTGAATCTCATAATTGACTTTGAAAGTCAAAATTATGACTTTGAATCTCATGATTATGACTTTGAATCTCATAATTGACTTTGAAAGTCAAAATTATGACTTTGAATCTCATAATTATGACTTTGAATCTCATAATTATGACTTTGAATCTAATAATTATGACTTTGAAAGTCAAAATTATGACTTTGAATCTCATAATTATGACTCTTAATCTCATAATTATGACTCTTAATCTCCCAAACCATAAAAAAAACAAAAAAAAACAGATGATATCCTTTTTGGGGTTGACTAACTATTGTCGAAACTGGGTGCCTAATTATGCAGAAATTGTGGCAGCTCTGAATAAATTAATGTATAAAATTTTTTTTTAAATGTCTTCTTTGTTGTGGGCAGATGAAGCAGAAGAAGCACTTTGCAAACTAAAAAGACCCTCCTGTCAAGCGCTGCGTTAGCGTTACCAGATTATCAATACGAAACCTTTTGTTCAGATGGTGGATTGTAAAGGTCATGTCATGACCTCGGTGCTAGTCCAACAGCATGGTGATAAAATGAGACTAATAGCATATATTTCTTCAAAACTTGATAGTGTAGCATGTGCTTTACCACATTGTGTGAGAGCTGTAGTTGCTGCTTCTATGGCAGTAGAAGTTAGTGCTCCTATAGTTCTTTTTCACCCATTAACATTAAAAGTAACACATGCAGAATTATTAAAAGAATTATTATAAGTCATGCACCTACCAAAACAGCTAGCA